TCCACTAGCTCACAAGACACAGTTTTTTTAAGCAGGTAGATCCTTCAGCTCTATTCCAAAGAAATTCAGTATTACTAAAGTTCCTTCACATTCTCAGAATCTGACTATTAGAAGACATTACAGAAGATACAGCTTTGGAACAAAGAGGAGAAATTCAGTACTCAAGATGATTAGATCTTTCTTATCCATTCCCCTGATAAAACTCTTAGAGGGAAGATAATTTCCCAGAAGATTAAGTGGATCCATAATCTCCATTACTGACCAGAAGGGGTACTTCACTGACAAAGAAATGTATAGATAGATAATATTGTGTCCTTGTGAGATCATAAAAAGCCTCCATTTCCAACAACTCCTTCAAAGTCACCTAGGACTGGGAAGAACTTAGGGAACTCATCTTAGTCCAAAGGTCTCAGGGTTTACAGTTTTCATGCAGTCTTGGCAATGAAAACCGGTGCAGGTCCTTTGCATGGTTCTAGTTCAATGCCATACGGGAAGGGTATGGAAGAAAAAGTAGAGATTGGGTAACAGTGGTACTTCTTTTGAGCCTTTCTGATTGCCAAGAGTCCTCAAGGACGGGACAACTACACTGGAAGTGCACTTCACTGGCAACCTCTGGATGATTCAAGGTGTAATACTGAACCTACTGGAACATAGTGAAGCAGACCTCCTCATGACGAATTTGAAGGTGATCCATCCATCAAGCCCTTTCAGTTCAAAGTCGAAGAAAGTCTCCCTCACATTTGGGTACTCGGAGCAAGGCAGGCTATACTTCACCTAATTAGAATCCACAGCCTTTTGAAAGGAGTAATATAGACACACAGCACATGTTCAAGCCATCGACAACAAACAGCAAGTTGCACACATCCTGATGATACCAGCTTCTTGAAGCATATTATATGCCCATCACAAACTGAATAGGGTTCTAACACTGACCAAGGGCAACAGTATCACGAAAATTCTAGCTCCAAACATTTGATCTAATTAACAGAAAAAATAAATTAGCTCAAAAGCAAACACTGTTATAATGCCAGACATTCTTCCCCTCTCAAAGTAAACGCCAAGTAAAATTTTTCAGCAAATGTTTTTTATGTGGTAGGTAAAATTTGAAAAGTATTACAAAATAAAAAAAAATTTTTCAGAGTTATGACAGCTGTATGTGAAGTAAGCTCTCACTATTATAAAATTATCACAAAATTTTCTGTTCTAGACATAAAAAACCACCTTTGCTACCACACGCAGATATTTTTACTCAAAGTTATTTTCCACAGAAAAACTGTTAAGTTGGCAGATTGACTGCTAAAGCAAATCATATCTATTCCAATCAAGTTACACAGGACTTGAGAAAGACTCATGTGAACTAAATATGAGCCATTTTATGCAACATCTTTCTTTGAACTGGGTCCCAACTATGCAAGATAACCTTTTTACTCAGACATACAGGCGTATAAGGATCTCTCAATGAAATGAGAACAAAAATCTCAAATGCTCAAAACTTCATAATGTCAGTTAAAACTCGGGTTTTTCCTTTGCCTATAAGAGAATATTTGGGAATATAGATATGCCAGTACTCCACCTTTATCTTTGACATCTCTCTTATAAATTGTGAGCTGCAAATTTGACACATGACCTTTCACAACTATATTCATAGGAGAATTCTCCTTTCCCAAGAAGTTTAAAAGAAAAGATTGAAAGCTGAAAGAAGAAAATGTTGGGGTTTTTTTCAAGTGAATTCTACAATAAGTGTACCAAGAAACTAAAACCATTGTTGTCTGCAGACATAATTAACTCGATATACACACTTCAATGGCAGCTGTCAAGTTCTAATTGACAAGTTAGCAGATATACTCAATCTGGTTATGTATGGTTTCTTGATCCTGGTTGCAAATGAGAAGGTTACTGCGCACCTGACAGCATTTGAAAGAAGCCATGCCATGTCCTAGTAGAAAGTGGAGCTCTGACAACTTAGATCACTCTGTGGCTTAGCATTCTGGTGTTAACTAGGTATTTCAGTTTTGCTAGAAGGACTTCTTATAGATGTTCCACTGTTCTTGTATAGCCACAACTCTTACTTGTATGAAAAATCTTTCTAGAAATGAGTGGGTATATGTGTAACATTTTGGGTGCGATGTTCTGGAAAGTAAGAGATAAGTGATGCATTCTGACTTTTCACATAAACTATTAATAAACGCAAGAAGGAAAACATTTTACTGCATTAAATATGTTCACCAAGCTGCTGTAACTGGGTATTTCTACAGTGTAATATTCTATAGCAAAATGCTGTAAACAACTGTTTTCTTTGCTTATTGAAAGAATGAGTCTTAAATCCGAGGCTGCTGTTACTAAAGCCTGATTTTGGAAGAGAGGCCTGAAACAGCCTGATAATAAACTTATTTAGTCTGACTTGAGAAATACTATGGAAATTCACATCTGGCCTCCACGGTTTCTAAAAATAATCCTCTTTTTTCAACTGAGGAAGTTTCCTGCATTTAAAATCTTGCTTACCTGATGCAAACCACACTTTAATATTTCATATCTTTGCTGTACATAGCCAAAGAATGGAAAGCCAATCCTGTGCTTTCAGCCTTGTAGTTGCAGCATTTTTTATTCATAAATTCAATTGCCTGACTTTATCTTCAAAGAACCTTTTCCCAGTTGCCACACTAAGTAGCCAGTGGGCAAGTACTGAAAGGTCAAAAGTTGCTTCTCTAATTCCTCCCTACGAACACATACTGAGGACAGTTATGTGTATTTCCAAAATTGACCTTCAGTCACCAAGACATCTCAAGGCATAAAAGGAACATGAAGGAAGGGGGTGAACTGTCATTTATTTTGTCTTTCTATGGCATGATAAATTTCAATGGCTGCCTGTCCTCTACCAGAGTACTAAATTTTGTTTGGGGGAGACAAAGTATTATTTAAATGAAAAAGTGCTATCATATCTTTTTACTGAAGACCAAAAAAATACTGTAAATTTGATTTTTGGCAAGACCTCTAATTTGTTTTTGAAAGAAATTCTGATCATCTTACAAAATTACAGAACCTGGCTATCAGCCTCCAAGATTTATTGCTTTCTTTGTATAACTGCTAGAAAATGATTACCAAGATACACACGGCAATACAAACAATACAGTCTGTATTTTCTTCATTTTGATTTGCACCACAACCAGTATCAAACATCCAGGTCTTGTGAATGCTGAAGTTGAGAATACAGTTGAGTTGCCTTTAGTGTAATAGTTTAGTAAGCACAGTGAATTTCATACAAAGTAAGAAATGCTAAGGCACATGGAGGGCAGGGAGGCAATTCGAGACAGCCAGCACGGCTTCACCAAGGGCAAGTCCTGCCTGACCAACCTAGTGGCCTTCTACGATGGAGTGACTACATCAGTGGATAAGGGAAGAGCTACGGATGTCATCTATCTGGACTTCTGAAGGCCCTTCACACTGTTTCCCACAACATTCTTCTCTCTAGATTTGAGATACGGATTTGATGGGTGGACTGTTTGGTGGATGAGGAATTGGTTGGATAGTCATCAATGGCTCAATGTCCAGATGGAGATTTGTGACAAGTGGTGTCCCTCAGGGATCAGTATTGGGAACAGCACTGTTTAGTATCTTCATCAATGATATAGACAGTGGGATCGAGTGCACCCTCAGCAAGTTTGCAGACAACACCAAGCTGAGTGGTGCAGTTGCCAGGCCTGAGGGAAGGGATGCCATCCAGAGGGTCCTGCACCAGTTTGACAAGTGGAACCCCATGAGGTTCAATAAGGCCACGTGCGGGGTCCTGCACCTGTGTTGGGGCAACCCCCGGTATCAATACAGGCTGGGGGATGAAGGCATTGAGAGGAGGGAAGGGATGCCATCCAGAGGGTCCTGCACCAGTTTGACAAGTGGAACCCCATGAGGTTCAATAAGGCCACGTGCGGGGTCCTGCACCTGTGTTGGGGCAACCCCCGGTATCAATACAGGCTGGGGGATGAAGGCATTGAGAGGAGCCCTACCAAGAAGGACTTGGGGCTACTGGTGGATGAAAAGCTGGACATGAGCCAGCAACGTGCACTCACAGCCCAGGCCAACCGTATCCTGGGCCACATCAGAAGAAGCGTGGCCCACACGTTTAGGGTGGTGATTCTGCTCCTCTGCTCCGCTTTCATGAGACCCGCCCCCCCCGCAGTCCTGCCTTCAGGTCTGGAGCCCTCAGAACAGGAAAGACATGGACCTGTTGGAGTGAGCCCAGCGGAGGGCACCCACAAAAATGATCAGAGGGCTGCAGCACCTCTCCTATGAGGACAGGCTGAGAGAGGTGGGGTTATTCAGCCTGGAGAAGAGAAGGCTCCGGGGATACGCTATTGCAGTCTTCCAGTACTTAAAGGGGGCTCATAAGAAGGATGAGGACAAACTTTTTAGCAGGCCCTGTTGTGATAGGACAAGGGGTAATGGTTTTAAACTAAAAGAAGGTAGATTTAGACTAGATAGAAGGAAGAAAATTTTCAAAATGAGGGTGGTGAAGCACTGGAACAGGTTACCCAGAGAGCTGGTAGATGCCCCATCCCTGGAAACATTCAAGGTCAGACTGGATGGAGCTCTGAGCAATCTGACTGAGTTGAAAATGTCCCTGGTCATTGCAGAGGGGTTGGACTAGATGACCTTCAAAGGTCCCTTCCAACCCAAATTCTATGATTCTATGAAATTTGGTGAACATCTCTTTAGAGTGCTGCTATTACATTTGTAGAGAAACACAAAAGCAAGAGCAGCATGCTACTACTGAAAAATCACTAAAATAAATAATACAAATATTACTGAAGTGGAAAGGGCAATGGCAGTAAAAAGTTAAATGCCTGACAGGAATTTACAAGACTTGACAATTACAAAGAAAATTACAACTTTTGTTCTTCCACAACCACTTTTTCAAAAAAGTCAAGATAAAAAACTGCTTTTGAATAACTGTGTAACTAAAACCACAACACTATTTTTTAACAAAGATATGATACCGCACTTACCAACTGGACTGGTACCAGCTCCATTTGGCACTGCGAGGTCAGTTGTCCCCAGCATCCCACCTAATAAAAATAAGCCAGAGCACTAAACTAACTTGCTCACATTACAGTATCGTATCATTTTGTACTTCAAAACTTAAGCTGTTAAAAAAAAAAGAAAATGCACCGATATCATTAAGAACTTGTTACTTGGGGGTTTTTGTTTGTGAGGTTTTTTATTTATTAAAGAAGTACAAAGAGGGTATAAAAGGAAAAGCACAACAGTACTGAAATGTTACCTGCATTGCCAGTACTCGGTGGTCTCTGAGGGGCCCCAGGTGATACGTTCCGATGCAGGGTGGTCTGAGGTGGGGAGAGCATGGTCGTGTCCGTTAACGACGAACTGGCTGCCAGTGATGGGGATACGAGGGAACTCCCTGGGTTACTGTAGGTTAAAGTGTTGGGATTGGACACTGGAACTGTAACCGACATCGAGAAGTTCTGAGCAGGCAAGCCAGGCTGAGAAAAGATGATGAGGAAAACACACAAGAAAACAACATTAGCATTAACTACGTTTGCAGAAATAGCACATAATAAAAATACACATTAGAGTTTGCCAAGAATTACTGAGGTTCAAAAAAAAAAAAGAGTTAATTATGTTAGTTTTTAAACTCTATTAAGCATACAATTTTAAAACATCCATTTGTTGTACAGTATGGTGTTAAAACTCTTATACATCATATAAATACAGTTCCAGAAGAATTACTCATAAACTTCTAAAATACTGAAAGTTCAAATACAAAAAATTGAAGATATTCATGAGTTCGCAAGCTCAGAAATACAAATTTACCAGTTAATCTGGATTATTACAAAGCAATGACAAGCTAAACATGTCTATAAATCAATGATTTGACCACCTTCAAAATGTAAGCATAAACATGCACATTATAGTCAGTTATTACATAAAAAAAGAAAAAGTTAGTAATAACATTTTCCATTAATAACCTTGCCAAAATATTGCTACTAATCTTGAAAGTTTTTTCTTTTTCAACAGACTAAAGTTCACTAAGTTCAGCAATTTGAATTTAAACATTTCAGTTATTATTGAGCTGTGTTCCACAAAACCCTGCTTGAATAACCACTCCATCTTTCTTTTTAGCAAATCTCATTTTTTAAATTCTAATTTTTACAGCATTATTTAAAAGGCTACTTTTTTTCTGAAGTATATATGTTTGTTATTCAACAACTATTTGAATCAAAGGCTTAGATGCCTGCCCATCTATGGTACTCATTTGGTTATGACTAACTTCTTCGGCCTTTGTCTCATTCCTATCCTTTGACAGTGATGAGTTTCTGAAACAAAAAGGACTATTTTCTTTCACAACTCTCATAATTACTGGAAACAAAACCAATGACAGGTACAATATAAGGGTAAAAATTCGGTAGTATTTATTGACAGAATAGAGAGATAATAGTTTTGATTTAGAGGTCAAATGCAGGTGACAAACGTTCATGACCTAGCAAGTATACTTAAAAAGATGTACTTTTGTGATGTGCAGCTTAAAATTTACTTAGTATACTTCTGTACAACAATTTTGATACTAGAGATACAACAATAACTAGACTAATTACAAAAGCACAATACATTTTCTACAAGAAACAAAATCTCTTACTAGTGAGAATCCAGAACAGTGTCCCTGCTGAAGTATTCTAAGAATAATTATCAATTTTTGGCACAGACGGAAGGAAAAAGTAATGAAGCATAGCGACGTAATGCTAGCAAATCATTCACAGTATCTAACTAATGACAAGCTGTACTGGTATTTGTTTTCACGGGAAACTACTTCAAGAAACTATTCAACATCTACAAAAAAAAAGGTTGTTTTTAAACAGCATGCTGTCAAGTAACTCAAACTAGATTTTAAATACCTGAAGTATGCCTAAAACAATGCTAGAAGCTAACAGTTGGAACATTTTTTCTGTAGGTTTCTCAATACAGAACTAACAAATGACAGCTTCCCCCCACACCTTACAATAAAGGCTGTCTCTGCCCATCTATGGCACTCATTTGGTTATGGCTGAATTCTTCACACTTTGCCTCATTCCTGTCCTTTGACAGTAGTAAGTGCACTAGAACAAAAGAAACTGTGTTCTTACACAGACCCATAACTACTGGAAATAGAACCGTAACAGGTCCAATTTAAGCTATAAATACAGAACTATAGAGCTAAAAAATAATGTTGCCATTTTTATTTACACTGATGTCTGGACAGACAGTTTAGGTTGTTCATGAAGACCAGAGAAAACCAAGGGAGAGCAATTTAGCTGTAACATACTGAGAGATGAGGCCTGAAGAAGACGCCGCAACACAGAAATGTTGGCTATCAAAAGCTTCAAAACAAAGCAAGAACAAAAGACTGGCTTTATTCAAATATAAAGAACTTTCTAAAAGAAGTGATGCTGGGTGTCATGACTGTCAGTTTGCTGTTAAGTCCCCAGAGACCACCTTACTGCTCTGAACAATGAAATAATTCTTAGTATCAGCAACCCATTTGGGGGCACACTACTCAACTGTCCCAGAGTCTCTGTCGATTAACCCAGCCAGTCCATTTACTTTTAATTGCTAAATGATTTCCAATGTTAAAAAATTCAAAGGCTCTGGCAGAGCCCTGTATTGGTTTTCTTTGAAAATACTTCCTCTGTAATACTCAACAGTAATTAGTTTTTGTAGATGGAAATTAAAGTGTCATGACATACACTTCCATGAAAAACATGCAAAATTTATGCTACTGTTACCCCCAAACTCCTTGAGTTTTGGAGTCAAGTTACTTATGGCTGCAAATGGGTTAGGCACCTGGGACAGAATTTTCAAATATCTTTCAGTGTCCAGGAACTATCTGCTAGAATTTCAACAGAAGGAAGGCACCAATCTTTTGAGGCTCCCATTGTGCACCAGTCTTTAAAGATCTAAATACCTTTCTACACCCAGTCTTCAGCAAAATAAATTCCACTGATTTTATGACAAAATTAATCCAGTTCCATTTGCCTGCTTGTAACATAATGTAAAAAACTTGATCAACGGACAGATAAAGAGCTACAAGATGTAAATAAACTGTCCTACATCCCACGACAAAGATCTATCTTTATAGTAGGATTAGGCAATGCAGCTAGGCTCCTGAAATTTAGAAATGTTACCTCATGTTCACAAGGTATGAGAAACTGTGAGTGGAAAAGAGAAGCTAGAGATAAATCATCTTATTCTTTAAAATGCATTTTAACAAGATCAAGTATCAGTATCTCACTCTTCCTCAAAAATACACATTCCCTTCTCAAACCATTACAATCTCTTGTCTTTGCAGTGGTTTCCAGTGGTAAGCAAACACCATGAAAATTCTCATGCATGTAATAGAAGCACAAACCATACTTTAGTACTCACTGCGATTTTATGATTCCGCATCATATTATCAAACTCTTCATTAATTTTTTTATATTTTTCTTCTGTATGTGGCGTGAGCACATATGAAGTGTCAGGGTCCGGGCTGTCGCACCCTCTGTGTTCCTTCTTGTTCAGAGCCTAAATAATGAAGTTAATAAAAAGGATCAACAAATAAAAAGTAGAGATAAAATAAAAGTACTTACAGGGCCTCGCTTGAAAATAAAATCACTATCTTCATTTAGTTTGCTGAATCTGTCCTCCGATAGTGGACTGTGCTCAAAGTAATCGTCAGCATCAGGGCTCTCACAACCATTAAGGCCTTTCTTTCTTAAGGTCTGAAATACAATTGGAAAATTCACATACAAATCATACTAACTTGCCAAGAAGTTTTGTATACTACTGAATCATTCAGAGCCACTGAAACCACATGAAACTTTTACAGACAAAACTCACTGTTCAACAGACAGGATCAGTCTTTCAAAATAGTGGCATAGTACACAAAGAAAAAAGGTTCATTCAGAGGCACAGACTCTCCCAGGTGCCATCTCATGGGTAATTTTAACCTACAACCACTTCACCTCCCCAGTTTTCCATGCAAAACCATTTTTAGATACTGGCTGATGGAGTACAGTTGCCTGACATACAAGGAACATTCAAGCCTATGGCAAAGGAGTTAATGTCATTACTGGTAATTAAAAGCCAATTTACTGGATCTTTAATAAATTGATTTTAGCATGCCAATCTGAATATTCACATTTTAAAGAGCATACAGTTAAACTCTGAGAAACACAGTGGCTAAAATTTTTGATCAAATTCAACAACTGCAGTACATTAATACAAGTAACACTTGGTCTCGGTAGTTTATAAAGGCAGGATTTTCCTGCACTTCTGTCATCCTGCATGATAACAAGAACTGCAAGAAAGTATAAAAAGAAATTACATAATCCCTCTCTAAAATGACTTAGTTTGCTAAATATAAGTTTTTTCAGACTCCTTTAGACTAACTTGATGCAACCGCTTTATAGAACTACTTCCTGTTTTCTGATGGAGAATTCACATCAACATCCCCCGGGTGGGGGGGATGGAAATCAAACTTGCCTACAATCGAGGTATTACAAATAAGCTACTGAAAGAAAGGATGTGAAACTACAAGTCTCATGATCAAATTTTAAGAGATATTTGTATTCCTTGTTGTTTTTCTTTTTCACTCTATTACACAATCAGAAATCTTTCTTCGCAAGTTCTCATTTATAACAAAACAAGATTTAAAATATTACCTATAGAAAAACCTTTAACATTTTAGAAAAATTTCAAAAGGAAAGCAATACAGATTTTTGAACAGATACACCTTAGCAGTGCATAAGGCAGCATAAAAGGGTTTTTTTGTAAGAAATTATCTATATTCTATGGATTTTACACTAAAAACCCTAAAGATTCGAAATCTGCAATTCGAGGTTCTCAGCACCATAAAGAAATTGCATGTGTCTTCCTATGGAAGCTATGTTTCCAAACACTGAATTTCTGATTTAAAAACAAAACAGAAGTTTTAGACTATAGTATTGATCAGCATTTTTTTCTTGAAGTGCTATCTACTAAATTTTAGCACAATAAAAAGTGCACAAGACTTTCTCAGGACTCATATATATGCAAAATATTGACTCTATCTACTTCAGTTTTAAAGCAGTACTTGAAAATTCAACTACGTCGTCTGAAATTCTTTAATACCACAGGTCACCATAAGCTATAATTCCTTCTCAAGTTTCTTGGCTTGCTCCGCATATCCCACACAGTGTCTGGAACTCCCACAAAAATGTAATCACTAAATCGGCATATGGGGAAAACAGGTGTAGCTTCCTCCAGCACCTGTCACAGCACTGATCCTGCTCCTCTAACCAATCAGCTGGACACGTATATGGACTTGGCCATACAAGGACTGGCTCTTCGGCCTCTCAAGGTCGGAGCCTGTTATCCCTCTCCCAGCCCTTCCTAACAAGTCAGCCTGCCAGTCTTCTCCACTTTGATATCAGTAGGGAAAATGTTAACACTGTATAATCTGGATTACACTTAACCCCTGCAGCCCACAGAATGCTGTAAATAGAATCCAAATATGTCTTTACGTGGTGCTCAGTGCCAACATGCATACACAGTGCCCAAGGCAGCTGTATTTAGATACTATAAAGAAAGATTTTGCAAGAAACACACATACTGTTTATTTTACCTCCTTTGATAAACACGTTAGAGCAATTTTAAGTATTGTAGCACGGGAGTTTCATTAGCGCTCCTTTCAATATTCTAAAGCAATAAGAATTAAAAAAAAAAAAAAATCGAGTGAGAGCTTTTAAGCATAATGGTGCCAATTCATCTTCCCAGATCTGTCTGAAAATTATACTCGAAAGTTCTAATTTAAAGGAAGAGATTTAGTTAAATATAAAAATGCATCCTTCCTCTTGGTGGCTGTTTGGGTTTTTATATTTATTTTTGATAACAATGGGGTTAACTCTGCTTTGACTCATGAGGAAGGAAAATGCCTCAGTATCTCCTGTTTAAGATTCTGGAAACCTTCACCCCAGATGAGGTTCCTGTCATTGTGGAAGGATTTAAGCCACAGTTCACTGTTACAGATAATAAGTCTGGGTCTGATATCCAAAGCTCTGTCTCCTTATCACTGAAACACAAACTGCCACTTTGAGGACCTAACCATAAAAAGACTGCCAACTTTATCATTGCCCAGTAACATAATAGTAAAACATTTCTGCTCCATGGCTCGTACTAACAAGCGGAATGCTGTAATCTGTTCACACGGCCAGGCGAAGCCTACGCAAGACAGTCCAGCCTCAGTTTTCTCACAGGTTACCACAGGGTGAGACATGATAACAGGCCCTTGCTCAAGGGAAAACAAGGAAAGCCATGACTACTGGGACTTGATCTGTGGGGACACAGGAAAGCCAAATTCCATCAACAAGTGCTGACTCCATCCTCGAGATTCTCTAGAGCTAAAATTTTGTATTTCTCTGGTTAATGCAAATAACTCGCCCCCCTGAGCTTTTTCCAAGATACTATCATGAAGACTGAAATTTTATAAATGCTGAAGATTTGGTGGGAGAGAAAAAAAATGTCAGTTAGTGAGACCATATAATACCTGTGTAACATGAAGACAGTTTTATTTCTCTGCTGTGATACACAAGCTTATTTAGAATAAAATCAGAGTTTCTGCAGTTGAGGCTAACAAATAGAAAACATAAGTTTTCTTACTACAACAAAAGGGTAAAAGAACACTAAATTTCAAGTTTTTCTATTGGATGCTCACTGCAACTATCTTCTGGTATTCAGTCTTGTTTTCCAGATCACCTAAGGGAACGTGTAGCCTTTTGAGTTAATCTGTATTACTTTCCACTTCCTCTAAGACTTAGCCAAAATTACTGGAAATTGTTCCAACATGTTTGCCAATGCACTGTACTGTGCCTTCAGTAACTGAGATTGTGCAGCTTTGATATTAGACTGGAGTAACCGATGAGAGGAAAGCACTGGTTTTTGTCAGAAAATAATTTATGAGGATTTATAAATTATTATAAATCATTATAAATTATAACAAATGATAACAAATTATACATACAGAAAACTATTCACAAGGAACTACAGCAAGTATGAAATCTTTTTTTAGAAGAATGAAGCAAACGCAACAATATAGTTGTGTGACATACAAAGTTGCTATACATGTATTCCAGACAGTTATGGTCATCTTGATATTGCAGAATGACCCAGAAGTTTTAAACTGCTTAAAACTGAAATATGCAAGTATTATAACTATTATTTAATATTGATTTTTTCCTTTTTGAACAGTAGCGCTTAGAAAACATCGTATGGGAACAGCTGGACTAGCTATGACAGGTTTAAATATTACATTCAAACACATGGCACAAGAGTCCTAATATTTTCCTGAACTTCCCCAGACATATGCAAAGTACTTTTTAATTGCCCTGCATTTTGCTAATCTAAGAAAAGAATCATGCCTTGGCAAGAATCATCTAAGGAACAGAAGAAGGGCTTCTTGCAAAACAACAACAAAAACACTAATTAGCTTCTCTCTACAATTCAACATAAATTTTACTGAAATCAATAATACACATACCAAACAGTATAAAAACACCAGTAAAGTTATTTATTGTATGATCCATGAGGAAGCAAAGATGATATTCAACCATCACAGTAGTAATTGTCTTAGCATAAGCTTCCTTCCACAAAATCCAAGAGAGAAACATGAAAGGCAGGAGTTTTAAACCTGCTGTGTCTCCACAGCATGAAATCAAGTCACCACCTTCTCCAAGGCTTGTTCCAGCCCAGCTGCACACAGCTTCTCTCACACAAACCTACACTGGCTCAATATACTGGTCGTCAGCAGTACTGGAAACCAGAAACTCTGAACTAATAAACACAGATTACTGCTACCAGAGATGAAGTTAAATGACAACCCCCAACTGTCCTCTTCCCCATGAAAGATCCTGTTTTTTACATCCGACTCTGAAAGGACATGTTGCTAATAGTCAAAAGAGCACAATCAGCATGTTTTGTGCTCCAATTCAGTGAGTGTGGTTAAAAAGCCAAGACTTCTGATATTAGTGATCTGGGCTCATTACCAGCTCTGGCAAAACTGTAGAGAACTTGATTATGTTCATTGTCACCTCAGGAAATAATATTTTTCTGCCTTAAAGCAAAGAAGTAGGATGACCTCATATGTAAAAAGTGTTATGAAGTGCAAAAAAGTGTCACTTCATTCAAAACATTTTCAGTGTTGGGTTTCTTGTAATATTACACAAAAAGGAAATGGTTGTTGCTATCAATGCTACTATGTATCATGTTACCAGCTCTATTTTTGCACTTGCTACTGGAGCTGGCCAAACAGGATTCTGGAGGAAAAACATTTCCAAAATTTGACTACGACTGAAACGAGAAGTGATTTCCCTTGGGAAAGGCAAACCTTCCACTTAAAACCTGTGGCTAGTTCTGTTTCTGCTGTTGCAGACAGAGCACGCAAAAGCTGTGAAGCAGCACAAATTTGGAGTACTTTTTGTAAAAAATTGTAATTTAAAAAAGTGTCAGTATTCCTCAGGTCTGAAGTAATAGAAAGGTTCCACTACTACTGTCAAACATCCCTGTTACTCCAGTAGACACGTACACCATGGTTATCAAAAGGATAACCAATTGAACAGTTTCCTAACGCTCTAGAGAGCTGCCACGCAATAGTGGAGAGGGAGAAGACACTGCTGCCACTTGCACCAAATTCCAAAGGCTCCTCACTCACAAATGCAGTCGCCAAGCACTCACAGAGCTCTGGGTAGGAAGAATGGGACTGAGCATCCCTGTCATCTGTGGTGGGAATAACAATAAGATCACTGAGATAAGACACCGTGAAGTTGCAGTCATGCCAATAAAAATGCAAAAGCCAGTATCATTAGCCTAGGTTGCAACAGTGCCTTTCCTATCGATGTTCAAGAACAAAGAAAAATAATTCCTAAAACAGAGATCCAAGGACAACCGAGAGCTATTTAGCTGTACTGGGGCTTTCAGGATCGTTCTCACATTCCATCTCTGCAGATGTTTATAGAGCCCCATGCTTTAAGCTTATTTCCCCATGCTTTAAGGAAACTGCTGAAGTCTGTGGGAGCAGTCTGACTAGCTGACCGACAGTAACAACTTACTGCCACAGAAAGTGCACGATCCTAGAGACCACCCTTACACCAACTCTGATATTTGCTCAAGCCCGCAATAAGTCATTTTTTTTCTTCGCTAAAACGACAGAAAAATGCTCCTTGGCCAGTCTTTATTTAATTTATTTTTGCTGTGTTTATTTTCAATTGTAGCAGGAATAAGGTGGTTTTCCAGTGTAGGGGCTGAGCACCACAGACACAAAGTAGGCAGAAGGAATAGCCTGTCCTTTCTGGCAGCAGCAAACCATTGCCTCAGCCACCACTGATAATCACATGCTACTTAAAAAGCCGCACCTTTTTTCCGAGATATTCACAAAACGAAGGACAAATACAGTAGTCACAGCACCACCCAGTTTTCATTCTTATTACCTGAAACATCAGTGACAGAAAACAGAGCACATTTCTTTAACGCAGTTCAACTCCCCACAGCAGAGAGACTTCAACTGGCAAAAACTACATGTATCACTACAGACTTTACATACAGCAAAAAGTCATGCTGAAAGCATGACAATTGCTTTATTATTTGCTTCCTGTTACATACTATTGCCAAGAAGTTGAGCCTAAAACTGGGCTGCATTTTTCTTCTTTTATAACACAAAATATTTCACTTTCATCACCCTGAACAATACTACGGCGTATCATCCTTTACACACAGTCATTTCTCCCCTATTATGTATAAAACATACTCAAGTATCCAAGGAGTATTCCTGGTCACTGGAAGATATTCACAGTTTTTAAACTTCCTGCGGGTCAGTTTAGCTGCAGAAGTATCACTACTTCTGTTTCTTTTCCCTAAAGTAACAACACAGTTCTGCAAAGTTGGAGCTTGAGCCTGCAGTGCTGGGTATACAAATTTTACCACTGTCTAAAACAGGAGTGAACCCTAAGTGCAGCATACACATCAAAAGTGAACAGCCAGAGAAAAACCATATAATTCCACTCAGTAACGGTGTTTTGTGTTTGAAGCTCATCAACATTGTTTCCAGTAGGCTTCAATTTCTTTTTTTCCTAGTTAGATGTACTAGATTATTTTATGTAATGTTTACAAGTTATGTAAATTTTCCTCAGGCTCTATTAATATTCTCAACTTCAACCACTGAAGCATCTGCAAATTTCATTATGCAGCCATTTTCTTTTCCTTTGAGTTAGGAGGCTATATAAGCTTAGCCCTAATACTATTCCTCTCAGTACCCCCGACACATTTTCCATTGCATTTTGCTATGCTATCAGTTAGAATTTCATATTCTAATTACAGCCACGAATACATAACCCAAAACAGCACAGTAAAGCAGAGCGGTGCCCAGCTTTCAAAACTTCCGTGAAATGCATAGGAGGTCAAATTAGATTATGACAGACATTTCCACAAGCTAAGCGACTTGGAGAGCTTAACCTCTTAAAGAACAAGGCCTCACTAATCTTTCTCGTAGGCTCCCCAACCAAAATAATGTATACTAAGTAAAATCTGAAAAATTGACATACTCTACTTTTAGCTTACTTAAATAATATTTTTCCATACTTGTGCTCAGTTAGTAGCGGTATTTCAAAAGTAAATAATTGATATTATGCAAAAAATATCTAGACATCAAAAATCCTGAGTCTAGCAACAAAGGTTGCTACAATGATTATATTTCTTGGTCAAATATTATATATCTTAGGAAAAAAGGAGGTTTAGGATTGATTACTTATTCCAGGGTTCTACAGACAAAAAAAAAATCATAAGGCTGCCTAGGACTAGGCTGTAAAATATACAAGGAAGCGCCCGTTAAAAAAATGCTCTACTATGTTCAGTTTTAGGTAAACGTATTCATCATTTACAGATGAAAAATGTTCATGATTTGAAATTTTATCAGTGTCCCTGTTAGATGCTGCTCCAAGACATGGTCTTGTTTCAAATGTTGGAGCACTTCCAGTATCTGGCAAATTTTAACATGTGTCCCTGGCTTGCCAAACACGAAAGCTAGCTGTCAAATTCCTCCAAGATATGATAAAGATGGCACTCAGGATTCAAACTCTCATTTATATAAAATAACACATACAAAAGGTTTTAAGACATGATATGGCACAAAGCTTAAATTCTACCTTGAAGCATTTTTGCTGTGAAACATTATTTTAAATAGATAAACCACATGCAATTACTAAAGAATAACAACTGTATGGGCTATAAAATCCACTCTTCACCGCCAGAACTATTACACAATGCACTGGACTAGAACATATAAGGAAGGGGAGTTGCTTACTTGTATTTGTGATTTTAGAGAAACACTATCTGTAAACTGTAGACTTTATAATTCAGTTGCTGACTTACAAACAAGCTGGATTGCTCATTCCTAAATGAACTTCTTGAGACTTAAAACGATTAGTAATCCATTAGCACTGATAATACTGTTTCCACAGTGAAAGCTAAGCCAAGCTCTCAAAGTCTGATATTTGATGCATTTGTCTTTGTTTCACTTTCTATACAACTTACTAGATTATTAAATTTTATATCGCTGAGCAGGTAGAAAGTACCATCAACTAGGTTTCTCCATTAAAGAGTACTAAATTGCCAGTCTAAGTCGGTCTTATTCAATCTTTTTATTGAAAACAAAAGACAAAGCAGACTGATGTTCATCTTCAGGAAGCAGAAACTATTCCTTCGCATATAAATTAAAAATATTTTATAGTCCTTTCAGGGAATGCAGTCTGCAACAAACAAAATTAATGGTAAGACCAAGCAAAACACAGTTCTATGTTAGAATGCTCAAAGAGATATTTCATGGTACATAAATGCTTTTTTCAATCCTTACTCAAGTGACAATATACATATGTACATACGTATCCTCCCATATACACCTCCTCCCATGCTTGCAAGGGTTAAAATATAAATCAGCAACAGCAGTAGCCAACTGAATGCCTCCTTTCGGCAACAGTATATTGCAGATAAGCCATACGGAACATAGGAAGTTTCCAAGTGTAGCAACCCATCTGCCTAATATCCTTTACAACCTTTTAGAAGTTCTTCAGTAAAAATATTATCTCCTACTCATAGTTTACCAAGAAAAATTCTCTAAACTCCAATTACCATTCAATGATATAAAAAGAATGGGTTCCTTTTGGTCTACCTGCCTATGCAGTATTGCCATTTCAAACATTTCTTGCCCTGAATTTCTCTATACGGCTTGAAAATTGGAAAGGTTAACAGAAAGCATTTCAAAGTCTTGGTACTCAAGATAACTTAGTATTATCTAAATAGTAATTGCAACACAGATAGCAACTATTCCCAAAGAAAATGCTTAGTGGATTCTAAGGATTTATGTAATTGTTAAATTACCATTCACATGTAAGATTATGGGAACTGGCTATATTAATATCTACCAGAAGAAGCTTCAAATACTAGTATGGAACTGCCATTTTGTTTCACCTAAAAAGGTGTCCAACCGTACAGACAAATAGCTAAAAGTACAAGTGGGCACATGTGTGCGCTCTAAACAGGTGTGGTATACATGCACACACACACCCCAGCATTATCCTGGTTCATAACATTACTGCAGGATATTTACCAAAAAAAAAAAAAACCAAACAAAAAAACACCAAAAACCACACCACAAAAAAAAATACGCAAGTTGAATAAAACAACTGAAAGCAGGCACCTGAAAACACCAACCAAGATAAGTACGTACAACAGGAAGCAGCAAGCCTCTCCAGAAATAAAGTAGTACGGTATAAGGAGATACATCTCTTATTTTTATTGAATTAAAATAATTAGAGTGTAGGACTTCAAGACAAAGCTGTAATAAGTATGTCACAACTCATGTTTTGAATTGAACTTCTCAGTTATATGTCAAAGGAATATACTTAATATGTTTTTCTTGCATAATCTTCACTCAGTGTGAATTATTCAAAAGCCAAAGCACCTCTTTGAAGGCTGTCCTTACCTAACCTGAAAAGGAGGTGGGAAATCAAAGATGGGAGCTACAGAGGTAGACAGAAAAGACCGTATGGGAATCAGGGACAGCGAAGTATGAATAAACTTTACTCTATCATGTGTAATTCATGTCAACATTGGATAAAGACGGGCTCTGGTATCCTCGATTTTTTTTCCTTTTAACAAGTCACTATACTCAGTAAGTAAGTACTGAATTGTAAGTTAATGCAAAAAAGAGCAGGGATTTAAATAGCATCGGTTTGTTACAGTTAGAAGAGCTTTCAGTGGGACAATGTCTAAGAGATTTGATATAAAAATCTTCACAATATTCCCAATGAATTTGGGAGTTTTTAATTAAAAATATATTATTCACTTCCTATTGAAAGTAACTGATAAATAATTCCAGTAAAACATCATTTAAATGTTAAAATTCACACTACCGCCAATTTAACTAAGTTAACTAGCATTCCATAGTCTATACTATAAATCACAGACATGTAAGCTCCCACATGAAATATTAAATCACTAATACGACATTAATAAGATGTATACCTATCACCGGTAAGTCACAAAAAGATACTAAAACTGTATGCGTATTGATTTATAAGTATTATGAACAAGAATGATATGATATAATAAGGGCTGTTAGGAGATTCACAGGTCTGCACCACAAGAACCATAAATACTTACTGTATTCAGGTGATAAAACAGTTACTACACAAAACATACCAGGGGACAGGATCAACATGAAGCCC